CCAGCCAGGGCTGAGAGCTAGATTCTTGGACACGGAAGCATCGGGTCAGAGGCCAGGCCGAGTGGCTGAGAGCTGAGCCCGGGGGCCAGACTGCCTGCGCTTAGACCCTGTCTCCTTCACTTCCTGGCTGGTGGCCGTGCGACCTCGGGCCACTCACTCAACCTGTCAGTGCTTTCCTTTCCTTGTCCGCAAAATGGGGCCGAGAACAGCACCGGCCCCCAAAGGGTGCTGTGAGCCCTGAATGAGTCTAATGCGAGAGCACCTAGAATAGCGCCCAGCACAGCGGACGCACGATTCCTATTAGCTGTGTTCGTTCACCGGGATTAGCTCTTACTGTATCAGCTTTTACTGTCCTCTTGATAGGTACCAACAAACTGCCCAACAAAAAGGCTACACCAACTTATACTTCCCACCAACAGCAGATGAACAGCCTTCTTTGACACTCTTGCCAAAGGGCTCTTATTTTAACAAGCATTTTTTTCCTTGTAAAAAGAAAAACCCCAAAAAACCCCCCCAAAAAACCCTTTAAAGTGATGATGTCCAACTGATCGATCCTGTTGTTTGCACGTTTGGTGCTATACCCGAGAAGGCTTTGCCTTCGCCAAGGTCACGAAGCCCTAACTGTTTTTTTCTGAGTTTCACATCTCACGGGTCGGTCTGCGATGCCTTCTGTGCTCATTTTTGCGTACAGTGAGAGGAAGGGGCCCGACCTCACTCTCATGTCTGTGGCTATCCGATTGTCCCAGTGTCACTTATTAAAAAGACGAGTCTGTCCCCCCTTGATCTGCCCAAGCGTGCTTTTAATGATCGGCCAGCCGCACGCACCTGCGGCGGCGTCTGAGTCCTCGGCGCTAACCTCTGGGACCACACTGTCTTCATGCTGGGACCACGCTGTCTTCATTACCGAAGCTTTGCAGCAAGTTTAAAATCAGGAAGTGTGTGTTATTTAACTCTGTTCTTCTTTTTCAGGATCATTTGGTTATTCTGGTTTGCCCTTAGGGGTTGTTTTTTTTTACTTGACTTTATTGGGGGTGGCATTGGTTAATAAAATTATATATGTTCCAAATGTACACGCCCTTAGGTGGTTAACGTTAAATTCAACACTATGTTTCAAAACCCTGTCGTACACTCCTTCTTTCTTTTTCTTTTTCTCTTTGAATTTATGTAAGATTTTATGTGAACCAGGCTGACGGCCTGGCCAGGAAGTGCGACCTCTGACACTCCTTTTGTTCGTGTCCCCTGCCAGTCAGCATCGGCAGCTTCCTCTCCACCCCCCACACCCAGTTCCCCCTTCCTCCTCATCCTCATCAGTGGTCCAGAGGCCTCGCATTTCCCACTAGCCAGGTGTCTCAACTCAGTGCCGTTTGCCATCCGCAAGGCAAGTCTGCCGCAGTGTCCCCTGAATCCTGCCTCGCCCCGCGTCAGAGCCCCCCACCGCCCCGCCCGGCAGCGGACTAGGAAATGGCTCGGTGACTCGCTTTAATCCACGGAATGCGGTGGAGGTGACGTCTGGGATTTCCGAGCCCAGGCGTGGAGGAGGTCCCGCATGTGGCTTTGGAAGCCCTGAGCGGCCTGATGAGATGGCTGGCCGGCCCCGCGGGAAGGATGTGGGAAGGAGCCATGTGGACCTGCCACCCAGAGATGCTACAGAGACGGAGACACGGGCCATGTGGAGAGGAGCCCTGTGTCCTGCGGGGCCCCCGCTGCCCCCTGAGGGCCCCAACTGAGAGCTGCCCGGTGGAGCCCCACCAACGCCTAGACCCACGAGAGCAAAGACAGAGCCCAAGGCAGGCAGTGGGGGGATTTCCGCTCTCTAAGCCTCGGTTTTCCGGTCTGAAAAATGGGGGCGAGGGTAGGATCAGCAAGGCACTTGCAGGGCTTTTGTGAGGATTCACTGAGGTCACGCCTGCCACAGTGCGGACTGTTGATAAATGGCCGCTATTATTATCTTTAATTTTAAAAACTAGTTCCATCCAGTTTAGTGCCACACACTCAGGCTGTGAGAAGGAGGCACGGAGATTCAAGTTAATGTGAAAGTCGTAGACTATATGTGGACTTACTTGGCTCAAAACGCGGTGGAATCACTGTTATCTGCTGACATGATTCATTACAACAAGTTTCTGTACAACTCATGCACTAGTAAGAAAAAAAATACATAAACAGAGGACGCACGCAAGACAAAACATGCCCACGGCGGAGTGGGAAGGCCAGAAATTCCATCGTGGGCACCTGAACCCGGGGAGGCCGGAATTCACATTCTGCCAGATAACTGTGAACTCCGGTTTCGATAGTGGTTTTCACCCTCTTCATCCCATGGCACATGTAAACTGATGACGAAAATTCTGCAGTACGCCAAAACAGATTTTTTTGCCGACCTTACGAAAAAATAGGTATAATTTTGATTCATTCATACTGGGTGGCTACGGTTGTGTTGGCTGTTGTCATTTTTTTATTTGACAATCAAAGGGAAAAAGAGGTTAGTGCTTCTGACTAAAGAGCCACGTTTTGCGTGTTTTAAAAATTCTCGTGGCACACCAGTGGAAAATTGCCAGTTCAGAGTCATAAGCTGTGAGAGCTGGAAGGAAACTTGAAGACGGTCCAACCTCTGAACTTCCACATGAGGAAGCTGAAGCTTAAGAGGGTTCACCACCTGCTGGTGATAAAACCAGAACGCGTACCCAGCCTCTCCAGTTTTCCTCTTTTTTCACACTTAACAATATTTGTTGCTCTTTTCTAATTTTGTTCATGATCATACATTTTTTAAAAAATTATAAAATTGGAAAATTTAGAAAGGGAGGGTCCCTTGCAAACTTTAGCTCCCCGAAATAACTTAATAGCCAGTTCCTCCAACTGTTAGTTAATTAACACCTGAGGATTAGTTTACGGATATCATTGACGAGTCCACGTGTCCAGGAAGAGAGCGTGACAGTCACAGGCAGCAAGAACGTGAAACAAATACCAGCCATTTCACTGGAGCCTTAGGACACCCACATAGTGTGACCTTAATGCAGCGCAGCCTGATGGACAAGACAACCGCAGAGAGACCGCGTGTGCAACGGTCAGGGACGCGGGCTTGCAAGCCGGGGCCGGGCCCACATCTACGCTCTGCCCGTGTTCGCTGGGCAGCCTTGCCTATGTGACCAACCTCTCCGAGCTCCGCTTTCCTCGTTTTGAAATCTGAACCAGTTGTCGTCCCTGCCTTACGGGGGGTCCGTGAGAGTGGGACAAGGCCCTGGGTGTGAAGCACGGAGCCCGGGGTCTGACACATCGGAAGTGTCCTGTAACGTCGGTGCAAACATCGCCTCTCTCATTGCCTTTGTCATCAAGGATGTCTGCTTCCTGTGAGAGTCTAATAGTGTTAGATCATCCTGACTAATTTATGGTCAAAAGTGTACAAACCCCTGCTGTTGAACCTGGGCGTGCACCTAAAGAAACAGATTTTCTGCCCTGGCTGGCGGGGCTCAGTTGGGTGGAGTGTCGTCCATAACCAAAGAAAGGGTTTGGTTCCCGGTAGGGGCACATACCTGGGCTGTGGGTTCGATCCCTGGTCCGGGTGCATATGGGGGGCAACCAGTCAATGCTTATTTCTCACATCAGTGTTTCTCTCTTTTCCTCTTTCTAAAAGAAAAGAAAAGAAAAGAAAAGAACAAGGAACATGTATAAAGGACCCATGGACAAAGCCAAAGTGGAGGAGGATTGAGGGTGGGAGGTGGGGGCGGGTGGGGCAGGGGAAAGCGGTGGCGGGAAAATGGAGACAAATGTATTTGAACAATTTTTAAAAAAGGAAAAAGAAAGAAAGAAAAGAAACATTTCCTATTTCTAACTCAAAGTAGAAGCAATTTAGAAACTTCTAGCAAAGCCAGAAGTCAGGAGACCAAAACATCACAGGGTAGAAATGTTCTGTGCGGCTGCACTCAATTATACTGAAAAGCAAAGAAATGATGTGTGAAATGGTGACCTGCACCGAAGCAGAGTTAAAAGTCCTCTTAGGTCCTGTCACTCTAAGTTTAATTATCCAAAAGACGGGGGCTTTTAAACTATCAAGCGTGGGGGGCGGGGGGACGGCTGTGCATGCGTGGGGACAGGAGTTACACAGGAACGCTCTGCACTTTCTGCGCGATTTGGCTGAGAACCTCAAACTGCTCTGAAAAATAAAGCTTATTACTAAAAAAAAAAAAAAAAAATCACGTACTTGAACATAAATCACTTGAGCAGGAAAGCGTATCAAAATCTAACACAAACAAAAACCTCAACTTACTGCAATGTACCCCTAAGATGTTGGCATGTTTTCCAGCATCTTAGGAAATTTTATGCTGCTCTCAAGTAGCTTTTTTCCCCCCTCCTGCTGAGTAGACATCAGTTAGCGTTCTGGGAGGGAAGAGCAGCCGTCCATGTTCGGGCAGAGAAGGCGGCACAGGAGCACAGCACCCAATGCACCTCTTCATGGGAAATAGACAATTTCTGTCTTCTGGGACTTTTCGAAAGAAATCATATGGCTGCTGTTCCCTAAATCATTTGCATGTTAATATGTCATACTCATTCTGAATGTTTCTGGAAAGCCAGGCTGCTTAGCACAGTGAGTTAGTACTGCTGTTGTTGTTAGCAATGTGAACCAACCACACGAGAGCGAATTCACCCTTGGACACTAAGCACTCAGCAGACAGGCTTCCGAAGGGATGCCCTCCACATCTCCTTAATTCACAACAAAGGACAGCTTGCCCAAACCTATCCGTTCCAGTTAGAAAACTTTCTGCGCTCCTCTCTGCCCTGGGGATTTTTATTACTTGTTTATGCAAACAGCAGGTTGCATAAGAGCCTTGCTGGCTTTTTTTTTTTTTTAAGTGATTTCGTAGTTTCCTGGTAACCATTCAGTCATCTATTTCAACACCCAGACGTGACATAAAGGCGGGCGCCGAGCCACACGTTCGCCACACAGACACACACCTCCCTCCGTGAGCACCGGCTGGGGGAGGCCCTGGCGCGCCGGCCGCGGCCCATCCATGCGCCCGCACCAGCAGCCAGAGCACTTTCTGCAAATCCGCAACACGAGCTGCTGCGTGTTCCGCGATGACTTCATCGCGCACGTCCTGCCGCCGGTGTTGGGGCTGGAGTTCGTGTTCGGGCTCCTGGGCAATGGCCTTGCCCTGTGGATCTTCTGCTTCCACCTCAAGTCCTGGAAATCCAGCCGGATTTTCCTGTTCAACTTGGCCGTGGCGGACTTCCTCCTGATCATCTGCCTGCCGTTCCTGTTGGACAACTACGTGAGGAAGTGGGACTGGAAGTTCGGGGACGTCCCCTGCCGGCTGATGCTCTTCATGCTGGCCATGAACCGCCAGGGCAGCATCATCTTCCTCACGGTGGTGGCCGTGGACAGGTACTTCCGCGTGGTCCACCCCCACCATGCTCTGAACAAGATGTCCAATCGGACAGCGGCCGTCATCTCCTGCTGCCTGTGGGCCGTGACCATCGGCCTGACGGCGCACCTGCTGTACCGGAAGATGCTGATCAAGAACCGCGACGCGAACCTGTGCAGCAGTTTCAGCATCTGCGACACGTTCCGGTGGCACGACGCCATGTTCCTGCTGGAGTTCTTCCTGCCCCTGGGCATCATCCTTTTCTGCTCCGTCCGCATCATCTGGAGCCTGCGGCAGCGGCAGATGGACCGGCACGCCAAGATCAAGCGGGCCATCACCTTCGTCCTGGTGGTCGCCGTGGTCTTCGTCATCTGCTTCCTGCCCAGCGTGGCGGTGCGCATGCGCATCTTCTGGCTGCTGCGCACGCGCGGGACGCGCAACTGCGACATCTACCGCTCGGTGGACCTGGCCTTCTTCATCACGCTCAGCTTCACCTACATGAACAGCATGCTGGACCCGCTGGTGTACTACTTCTCCAGCCCATCTTTCCCCAACTTCTTCTCCACCTTGATCGGCCGCTGCCTGCGGGAGAAGGCGCCGGAGGGGTCGGAGCACAACCGCAGCACCAGCATGGAACTCACCGGCGAGGTGAGCGCGGCCCAGGGTGTCGCCAGCCCTCGGCTGGCCGCGGGCGCGCGCGATCCGACCCCGGCCTCCGCCTAGATCACCCACCCGAGGAGGGAGATTTCCGCCAGCGACCCAGCTCGCTGGGGAACGGTTTGGCGTGGCCGTCGTTAGACTTGGCCTGGGCTTCCCCGGACCATCCAGAGTCAGGGAAGCGGATCCAGAGAAGCGGGGCAAGGGGTGGGCCACGGGGTTGCACCGAGCCCCCCCTGGAGTCTCGGAGGAGCCGGGAGCCAGGGCCAGACGCTGGACCCTCCCGCTCGGTCTCGGACGCGTGCAGAACTGGGGATAGCAGGCCTGTCCGCGCCTCTGCCAAGAGAAGCTGGAGCCGCAGAGACGCCCAGCAGCATCTGTGACCGGCGTCTTCCCTTCACCTGCCTGAGACCTGGACGGCTCTCAGCTCCTGGGCCCACACCCAGCCTGGCCGGGCCCCGGCGGAGGAGAGAAGAGCGGAGTGAGCGGAGAGGAGTCTGGCTCCGGGAAGCAACCCAGGCAGCGCCCGGCAAGCCAGCAGATCACCTGCGATTAGTGGGGTCACGTCATCTTTGAGCCCCGCTTTGGCAGAACTGGACTAGACAGAGAGGCTCAGGAGCTTTGGTTAATGCCTGAGGCTCCAAAGGCGGGAAGACGGGGATTCGTCCCAAGGGGAACTGAGCCAAGTGACTAAGGGAAAGGAAATGGCATTTGTGTCACAACCTGCCATTAATCCATTCCCTCCTGTTTACACTCATTTGAAGACTGAGCAGTTAAAAAGGTTTCAGGGTAAAGAGCCGCTTCCCACCTCTGTTTGCTATTATCATTAAAAAGGCAACGCTGCCTCATGGTCAGAGCGGGGAAGAGCCTCCTGGTTCGTTTGCTTGTGTTTCTGTCCGTACAAGAATCCACTTCAATAAACCTTGATGTGGGCATACGGTCTGGCGTTGCGGGCATCTGGGTTGCAGTTCACAGAAGCAGAACTTCTTACTTAAGCCGAGAGCTTCCGGGGCTGTGAACTGTGTCCTGGTAGAAAAATGCCGGCTCCTGTAATGGTGAGAAACACCGTGGACGCTGAGGCACTTCGGGAAAACTCCGGATGCACTGGGACCAGGACGGGACGGGGCAGGGGATAAACAGCCACCGTTCCCTGCAAAGGGGTAGTTACAGACAGGACTGCCAGAGCATTTTACACTTTATATTAAGATTTTGGTGGCTACTGCTGTTACTATTTGTGTATTTAAGAAGAAATCAGACCAGGCTGGGCTTTCTGCATAGGAGGGGGAAGACAGAACTTCCTGTGGAAGAGTTTCAGTTCGCAGTTCTGGGATGGAAAGATGTCCCGGTTTGAGTCAGTGACCTGTCCCAGTTTCTGTTACGCTTTCATTTCCAGCCCCTGTCCCTCCTGGATTCTTTAGCAAGACGAGGCTTGCTCCGACGTTCCGAAGGAGATGCAGATAAGAAATGCCAATGTCAGCCCCCGCCACAGTGGAATGGTAGTCGGGGAAAGGGGACAGCCGCTCTGGAGTGTCCTCAGTGTTTTTGGAGCACCCCACTCCTCCGGGCCTCCAGTCAGCTCCGAGGGGCCCCGAGGGAGTTAATGCGGAGATCACCTGAGGCCCTGAGGCGGAGGCCAGCGGAGCGAGGCAGGGACTCCCGGCCTCCGGATTCCCCGGGGAGCCTGGCAGCCCCGTCCTGATCTGCTCAGAACCTTGACTCACATTCATTCATCCTTTCCATTCCTTCCTTTCATTAGATTTGCAAATGAAGCGGCACCTGCTTTGGGGGGTTGGTGGAAATGAAACACGGTTTAAAGACCCTCTCCTCAAAGAACTGCCGTTCACAGCAGGGAGGCAGCGCAAAAGGAAGTCCAGAGCGAGGGAGAGGGAACTCAGCTATGAGGAATAGGAAGACGGCAAACCACGGGGACAGGCCAACAGGGAGTGGGGCTGGGGTGACAGGGGCGATCTCTGTTGGCAAGCGGCCAGGAGTGAGCTGGCAGAGCAAACAATGCAGAAACCCGGGGGAAGGGCGCGCTAGGCAGCGGGGATGGTGACTGCAGAGGCGGGGTCCGGGGCGGGGCGGGGGGGGGGGAATGAGTTTGGGGTGTGGGAGTATATTAGTTTCTTCTTTTTTAAAGACTTTATTTATTTTTAGAGAAAGGGGAAGGGAGGGAGAAAGAGAGAGAGAGAAATGTAGATGCGAAGCCCTGGCTCTGGGCCAGTAGACTGAGTGCCAGTCTGTGACCCAAAGGGTCGCCGGTTCGATTCCCTGTCAGGGCACAGGCCTGGGTTGCGGGCCAGGTCCCCAGTAGGGAACACACAAGAGGCAGCCTCACGTTGATGTTTCTCTCCCTCAGCAGCTTACACTGATTCTTTCCCAGTTCTGGGGGCCAGACGTCTGGACCTAGATGTCGGCAGGGAGGCGTTGGCAGGGCTGGCTCCTTCCGGAGGCTCTGAAGGGCCTGCTCCGCGCCTCATTCTCGGCCTGAGGGTGTGTCACTCCGCCCTCTGCCTCCACCTCCGCCCCCACACAGCCTCCTCCCGGTGCCTCCGCCTTCTCCTTTCTCTCTAAATAAAGACACTTTTCTCTGGCCGGATGCAGGGCCCACCCGAACCCAGGACGACCTCCTCTCAGGGTCCTCCCCTTGGTCACAGCTATAAAGACCCTGGTTCCAATGGGGGCACATTCTGAGGTCGGGGTGGATCCGCCTCTCCATATTCAGTTCCGCTCAGTACAGCTTCAAAGCAGAGCGTGAGCTCGACCCTCGTGCAGTCTATGCCTCTGTGTCAACGCCGGGAGTGGCCCCCCAGGAGGACACGAATCAGAGCCTCGCCGTGGTCTGCCTGGGCAACCGGGCCACCCATGGTTCTCCTTTTCCTTCCTGGGCTTTTCTTTATTTTTAAATCGTCAGCGACAGCCCCGGCTGGTGTGGCTCGGTTGGCGGAGCGTTGTCTTGCAAAGCGAAAGGTCGCTGGTTCCACACCCGGTCCCGGCCCAGGCCTGGGCGGCAGGCCAAGGCAGCCGGGCTGTGTGTCTCTCACACATCGGTGTTCCTCTCCCTCTCTTTCTCCCTCCTTTCCACTGTCTCTAAAATAAATTTTAAAAATATTAAAAAAAAATAAGTTGTCAGTGATGAGCTGTATTACCATTGTAATTATTTATAAACATACGTTGCTTTAAAATTTAAATCACATTTAGTTATAGGTCTCTGAAAAAAGGACACCATCATCTTCCTTGATCAATAATAGTATTAAGAGAATAGCCTCCTAAATATTTCTGTTTGCCCGGCCAGGGGAATTTCAACATTAATTTAAAATGGGAGCAAGCGATGGCGTCCTCGGCTGCGCCAAGCGGGTGCTGCGCGGGGTCTCACACCGGGGCGGGGGCGGGGGGGGGGGTGCGTGCGTGCGTGCGGGCAGGGCCTGTGTGTCCGTACATTGGAAGGGGCAGTCATATCATTCATGCAGTTCCACTACTGCCTCTTTGTTTTGGGGGTACCCCTCTCGGGGTCATGAGTTTACTCCCTGCAAAGTAGAAGGTAGGGCTTCCCTCCAGCCGCCCCCGAACAACCGTCTCCAGGCTTTGGGGGACCGCGCCCCGTGTCTCACACCGTCCGGCCGGGGGTGCAGCGTCCTGCATGTTCCTGATTCTGTGAACACCCCCTGCCGTTCCAACTGTATTAGCCCCTTTGCCTCGCGGCGCCTTGCCTAACGGGAGGACAGAGCCGCGCCGCGTATTCTGGTCCTTAATGTGCCTTTGATTGAATTTTCAGAAGAATCTCTGAGTGCACTGTCCACGTGTCGGCGTCCTGCCTACAGCAATCAGTGGTCTTCGCAGATGGCCCGCAAGGCCCAGCTGCCCCTTCGCTCCCCCTCCTTTGCTTCTATAATCAGAATTTAGCTGAGGAATTGGGCGTCGCTGCCTTGTACTACAGCGGCATTTGGGGAAGCTTGTAAGTTCCGGAGGCCGATCATTTGCCGGCCCACAGGGCCACCCCCGCTCCCCCATCTTTCGGCTGAAATTCATGACTTCTTCCAATTGGAATGAGATTCCTCGATGGTTGGGGCTGAGCTCTTCCTATCACAGGCCAACTCCCTGGGACAGAAATTCTTTTCCACCCTCCTGGGAATGAGAAGATGCCTCCTTATAATTGTTTCACTCGAGGTCCTCCTGGATGGAAATAACGGAGACCAAGTTCAAATTAGCCCCAGAAAAAAAACCTAAGAGTAAAACAGAGGACAATCCTGGAAAGATGGTGGCACACCTCATACAAACTAAGAGGACAAGACGCCAGGTAGGGGCGGCGGCGGCGGCTGCAGACGACCCGCTCAGGGCCTTCGGCCCAGCTCCTAACTGTGGCCGTGACTACGCTCAATACCTGCGTCTCCCAGGTCGGATTCCCACGGGACAGAATCCGATTGAGCCCCAAGCCCGCGGGATGAGGGGTCAAGGAGCAGTCCCAGCGCAGCTGCGTGCTGGGTATTTTTAGTCCACTGTTTGTGCAAGCTCCTGCTCCCCGCCCGGCAGGCCTCTGTCGCCGTTTCAGGTCACCTTTTGTCTCAGCGAGTTGAGCTGCCTGCCTGTCCTCTCAGCAAATTCCGCCTCAATTCTCTTGTTCCCCAGGTCCTGCCATGTCACAGCACCACCGTCCCCAGGGGACGGAGGGGAGCCGACCTTCAGGAAGCGATGCCGGTGACGTTGCCACAAACCCGTTCAGACGTGGAGCTCCGTCTCTGCGTTCACAAGCCCCTTCAAAGGACTCCCTGAGGATGAAAGTCCTGCTACGTTTTGTGCCGCTGAATCCAGTTGGGGCCAAGAAATAGCCCAGGGCGCGCCCGGTCGCGAGGGGTGCCTGCCCGGGAAGCTCTGTTCACTTAGTTTCGTGTCTTTCATGACAAAGGAAATGTGGCTCTGTGGCATCCAGTGCTGGACTTTCTCAGGGCTCCAAGTGAGCATAGGGCCCCCCTGCCCCCTCATGGGGAACGGGCGTTTGCAGGTGGCCTGGAGCCCACCACGCCACGGCCCCGTCAGGCGAGAGGCTAGTGCTTCTGGCCCTTAACAAA